CGTGTTGGTTGGTTTGATGGTCGTGTTGGTTTGATGGTTGTGTTGGTTGGTTTGATGGTCATGTTGGTTTGATGGTTGTGTTGGTTGGTTTGATAGTCGTGTTGGTTTGATGGTTGTGTTGGTTGGTTTGTTGGTCGTGTTGGTTTGTTGGTCGTGTTGGTTTGTTGGTTGTGTTGGTTTGTTGGTCGTGTTGGTTTGATGGTTGTGTTGGTTGGTTTGATGGTCGTGTTGGTTGGTTTGATGGTAGTGTTGGTTGGTTTGATGGTCGTGTCGGTTTGATGGTTGTGTTGGTTGGTTTGATGGTCGTGTTGGTTGGTTTGATGGTAGTGTTGGTTGGTTTGATGGTCGTGTCGGTTTGATGGTTGTGTTGGTTTGATGGTCGTGTTGGTTTGATGGTTGTGTTGGTTGGTTTGATGGTCGTATTGGTTTGATGGTCATGTTGGTTTGTTGGTCGTGTTGGTTTGATGGTTGTGTTGGTTAGTTTGATGGTCGTGTTGGTTTCATGGTCGTGTTGGTTTGATGGTCGTGTTGGTTGGTTTGATGGTCGTGTTGTTTTGATGGTCGTGTTGGTTTGATGGTCGTGTTGGTTGGTTTGATGGTCGTGTTGGTTTGATGGTTGTGTTGGTTGGTTTGATGGTTGTGTTGGTTGGTTTGATGGTTGTGTTGGTTGGTTTGATGGTCGTGTTGGTTGGTTTGATGGTTGTGTTGTTTGGTTTGATGGTCGTGTTGTTTGGTTTGATGGTAGTGTTGGTTGGTTTGATGGTCGTGTTGGTTTGATGGTTGTGTTGGTTGGTTTGATGGTCGTGTTGGTTTGATGGTCGTGCTGGTTTGTTGGTCGTGTTGGTTTGTTGGTCATGTTGGTTGGTTTGATGGTCGGGTTGGTTTGATGGTCGTGTTGGTTTGATGGTTGTGTTGGTTGGTTTGATGGTCGTGTTGGTTTGATGGTCGTGTTGGTTTGATGGTCGTGTTAGTTTGATGGTCGTGTTGGTTGGTTTGATGGTCGTGTTGGTTTAATGGTCGTGTTGGTTGGTTTGATGGTCGTGTTGGTTTGTTGGTCGTGCTGGATCGGTCTGATGGTTGTGTTGGTTTGTTGGTCGTGCTGGATCGGTCTGATGGTTGTGTTGGTTTGTTGGTCGTGTTGGTTTGATGGTCGTGTTGGTTTGATGGTTGTGTTGGTTGGTTTGATGGTCGTGTTGGTTTGATGGTCGTGTTGGTTTGATGGTCGTGTTGGTTGGTTTGATGGTCGTGTTGGTTTGATGGTTGTGTTGGTTGGTTTGATGGTCGTGTTGGTTGGTTTGATGGTAGTGTTGGTTGGTTTGATGGTCGTGTTGGTTGGTTTGATGGTTGTGTTGGTTTGATGGTTGTGTTGGTTGGTTTGATGGTCCTGTTGGTTTGTTGGTCGTGCTGGATCGGTCTGATGGTTGTGTTGGTTTGATGGTCGTGTCGGTTTGATGGTCGTGTTGGTTTGATGGTCGTGTTGGTTTGATGGTTGTGTTGGTTGGTTTGATGGTCGTATTGGTTTGATGGTCATGTTGGTTTGTTGGTCGTGTTGGTTTGATGGTTGTGTTGGTTAGTTTGATGGTCGTGTTGGTTTGATGGTCGTGTTGGTTTGATGGTCGTGTTGGTTGGTTTGATGGTCGTGTTGGTTTGTTGGTCGTGTTGGTTGGTTTGATGGTAGTGTTGGTTGGTTTGATGGTCGTGTTGGTTTGATGGTCGTGTTGGTTGGTTTGATGGTCGTGTTGGTTTGATGGTTGTGTTGGTTGGTTTGATGGTCGTGTTGGTTTAATGGTTGTGTTGGTTGGTTTGATGGTCGTGTTGGTTTGATGGTCGTGCTGGTTTGTTGGTCGTGTTGGTTTGTTGGTCATGTTGGTTGGTTTGATGGTCGGGTTGGTTTGATGGTCGGGTTGGTTTGATGGTTGTGTTGGTTGGTTTGATGGTCGTGTTGGTTTGATGGTTGTGTTGGTTTGATGGTCGTGTTGGTTTGATGGTCGTGTTAGTTTGATGGTCGTGTTGGCTGGTTTGATGGTCATGTTGGTTGGTTTGATGGTCGTGTTGGTTTAATGGTTGTGTTGGTTGGTTTGATGGTCGTGTTGGTTTATTGGTCGTGCTGGATCGGTCTGATGGTTGTGTTGGTTTGATGGTCGTGTCGGTTTGATGGTTGTGTTGGTTTGATGGTCATGTTGGTTTGATGGTCGTGTTGGTTAGTTTGATGGTCGTGTTGGTTTGATGGTCGTGTTGGTTTGATGGTCGTGCTGGATCAGTCTGATAGTCGTGCTGGTTGGTTTCATGGGTGTCTGTCACCACAAACAGTTAATAAAGTGAGAATCTCATCACCTCTTCCTCGCTCTTCACCTCCTCCTCCTCCTCCTCTTCTCTTTGGGAAACTTTTCATGCTGTTCTCAAGCCTCCTCTATTCACCCTCCTCTCCGCTCTCTCTCTCTTTAACAATCTGTTTCTCTCCCTCCATTCACTCCCCCCTCCTTTCTCTACTCTCCATCTATTCTTCCACCACCTCGTTCTGTCTCTGCGGCCGGCTAACGGAGCGTGAGATTGGCTAATTAACGGCTGCCTGTCGGCGCTGCAAAGACAGCTGGGTAATTTGGTGAGAGCTAAGAGGAGGGGGGGGGGATGTATCGTTGTATTTCTTAGACAGTTATTTTAAAGAAGCAGGTGTTCTTCACCTGTCTGCTTTTGCTCTAACACACAGATGTCTGCAGGTTATTTTAATATGAATTGATCTTATAGAGTGTTCAGAGACGTGATGATGAAGAGATCATGTCATCAGAATCCAGAGATTTAATGACAATAATCCTCAGGGATAAGGGACGCTGGAATAACTCCATCAGGAGGAGGCTTCTAAGAAATGTCAGGAAACCTTTCAAGTGAAGGTTTTTTAACATGGACCATCACAGGACACGAGATGAGCAATCTCAGTAAAAACATGAATTTCATTCTGATTTGAATGATCTTTATCCACACTTTGATCTGTCCAGGAAGGGAGCCAGAAAATTCAAGACCTTTTCACTCAGTGAAAAAACTGAAGAAAGAAAAACAGAGCGAGACGTTCACAAGAGACATGACTGTTATTTAGAAAGACGACAACAAGAGACACACTGACACACACACTGAACACACACACACACACACACACACACACACACACACACACACACACACCAGTGTTTCCCCTACCATTATATTGGGGGGGCGGATTTATTTATTTTTGGGCTTTTTGTGCCTTATTGAAGGGATAGGATAGTGGATAGAGTCGGAAATCAGGGAAAGAAGTCATTTAAGGATACCTTTCCGATAGAAAAAGACATCTGTCATTAAAAGTAACGCATGAACACCAAGATTCCTTCAAGTGTTTGTGTCGTCGTGTCGGATTGTCCCCACCCCCCCCAACGCTGTAAACCTAGGGGAAGCACTGCACACACACAGAAACACACTGACACAAATTCTGCAACAACATGCCAGTCATTCCTGTGTAACAGAGTGTGTGTGCATGCTGCAGCATGCTGCGATAACACACACACACACACACACACACACACACACACACACACACACACACACACACACACACACACACACACACACACACACACACACACACACACACACACACACACACACACACACACACACACACACACACACACACACACACACACACACACACACACACACACACACACACACACACACACACACACACACACACACACACACACACACACACACACACACACACACACACACACACACACACACACACAGGTACAAAGGTTCTGTTTTATTGTACAACATTCAGCCACACCCAACATTAACACACTAGAGTAATTGTGTGTGTGTACCTTTAGTCAACTGGTTTCTTTTAACAATGTGTCATTACCCATTACCCATAATTCCTCTGTGTGTGACTCGCTCAGTGGCTCCCTGTACGGCAGAAAATCTGAATCCAACCAAACAATCGTATTTTGTAATTGTATTTATACTATCAGAGAGGAGGGTGTCTGTGTGTCTTTAAAATGTGTTGGTGTGTGTTACTTCAACCACCTCCAGCTGTAATCTGTGATGACTGAGTCAGTGTGTGTGTGTGTGTTGATGGCGCGTTGATGTGAGAAATCACCAGTCAGAGCGACAAAGTGGACACAACACAGACTGCTAGTCAGAGTTTACCTACAGACTCATTAAACACACACACACACCCTCCTGAGTCATGGGGCGTGCAGCGAGTGCCCAGGGATCAGAGTGATGATGAACAGAGAACAGGTCCTCTGTCTCTACACATCAGTCTCACTGCTCCACCGACAGGATGATAGCTAGGACAGCTGCACATAAGCTGAGCGCTAACTCGTGTTAGCATTGTAGCTGACGAACCAGAAGACACATCCCCTGTGCACACACCCTGCACACACACCCTTCATCAGGATCTCTGAGATGGTTTTTGACTCCCTCGTTTATCTCTATGGTAGAATCAGACACAAATAGTGAACACGCTTCACTTTGTGTCTGGTTTACTAATAAATATCAGAGTGATCACTCTCGCTGAGGTGTTGATAAAGGATCTCTGTGCAGGAGGATTTATTCTTTCTTTCTTTATTTATTAAAGGCAAGCTGTGAGTATGAGAGCATTCGCACACACACACAAACAGCCTGCAGCCTCACACTGATGCTGCTGCCAGGGAACATGTTTAAATCATACACACACACAAACAGAGAAGTGTTTGTGTGTGAGTGTGTATGTGTATGTGTGTCTTGTATATCTTATGGAAAACACATGTTTACCAGCAGATAGAGAGAGAGAGGGGTGAGGACAGATGGAGGAGAAGAGGATGGTAACACCACAGATGGATTCTATAGGAGGAAGAGGAGGAAGAGGAAGAGAAGAAGGAGCTGTATATGAATTACACTCTCTGTTCAGTGTGTGTGTGTGTGTGTGTGTGTGTGTGTGTGTGTGTGTGTGTGTGTGTGTGTGTGTGTGTGTGTGTGCCTACCTGTCTTGGGTGATGATCCTGACACGCTCAGTGAACACTCCATCTTGGCCGTTTCCCAGGGGTACACTGTGCTGGCGTCTGATTGGATGGCGATGGCGAAGGAGGGGCCTGAAGCAAGAACACATGAGCAGGAGTAAGTTTTGAAAAATTGGAGTATGTCTCTTTTCTTATTTTTTATTTGAATAGCATCAACTCATAACAAGTGTTATCTCAGGACACTTTACAAAAAGCAGGTAAAAGACCTTACTCTTTGTTATCCCTCGCTTCATGCAAGCTCCGCCCTATTCTCCAAATATGGTCACTTCCTTTTTGGTAAACAGTCTGCAGACGTGACTCTAAAAAGCTCCAACAGCACGATCACGGCCTGACTGCAGAACCAACTTGCAGCCCCCATCTGTCATTCAAAGAAGCCACGCCCCCTAATTCTACATCCTTTAAGCTGACTCACTGCAGGAGACAGACTCTAGTGGACACTGGAGGAACTGCAGCTGTAAAGTTAGACATTTTAAATTTTTTCACGACGGACCAGACACGCTGCGCGCCTAACCCTAACCCAACTCTGGCAGAAGGGGCTCATGGGTAATGTAGTTTACAGTCGAATGTGAACAAAATCTTCAGGATAAACTGATGCTTATGTTCGAGGAAATCCTCAAATAACATCTAAAAATAGAAATATGTCAGCAGCTCTTTACTTGAGAACACACACATTACACACTTACCCACCCACACACACACACTAATGATCACACACACTTCCTCCTCCACAGTGATAATGACAACAGCACAGACACTAATAATGTGTAATAAATAAACTCACACACACACACCTTAAGACCTCTGCGACACACACACACACACACACACACACTGGCCTACTTTACTGTCTTTGATCTGAGGGGGGAGGAAGAATGGAGGGGGACGAGGACAGAAAGGAGGTGAAGGGGACTGGGGAGAGGAGAAGGGTGAGGAGGTGAGGAAACAAGGAGAGGGGTGAGGAGAGGTGAGCAGAGGGGTGAGAGAGGAGAGGAGTTGAGGAAACAAGAAGAGAGGATGGGAGAGGAGACACTGTAGGAATGGTGAGTCAGAAAAGATATATTAAAGGAGAGAGAGAGATGTTAAACTGAATGAATCAGGTTTATCCTCGCTCTCTCTCCCTGTACGACGAGCTGCAGCCGTGTGAACGCTGTGATGAGATTTGAAGGAGAACAGAGAGGATCATGGGAAACTGACAGAGGGAGGAAATAAAGAGCGAAGGACAAGATAAGAAGAACTGAAAAATATATTCTCTCTCTCTCAGTCTCTCTCTGCCTCGCTCGCCCCTCTCTCAGGGACGTCTTCAAAGTGAAGCCCTTCGGCCAATCACTGATCTGCACCTCCGCCTCCCTGTGTGTCTTATTGTTCAAGTGTGTGTATCAGAGTGGAACATTTAGAGATGACCTCTCTCTCTCTCTCTCAACCATATTAGTACATTATATTTATATAAACATTTATATTTCACATTTATATACATGTCACATATATATATATATATATATACATATACATATACATATACATATATATAAATGATCCAGTAATGGTTTATCTATGACTTCAATCTTTGTTGCCGTGGTAACAGGCATCGATATCTGAGACCATGTGTCCCGCTGACTCGGACTCACCGTTCTCCTGGAAGTCGATGCGGACCTTGTTGGACTCACTCGTGACTTTGGTCCAGGTGTGACCGGACTGCTGTTTATTCAACGCCGTGATGGCACACCAATAAAAGGCCCTATCAGAGAGCTGCACGCCATTCAGCCTGAATCTGAACTCTGCCGGACCGGACTTCACCAGAACCAGACTGTCCCTGTGAGTGGAGAGAAACCCAGTAATGAATTAACATGTCAAAATAAAAGCACTCAGTAATGAATTAACGTGTCAAAATAAAAGCACTCAGTAATGAATTAACATGTCAAAATAAAAGCACTCAATAGTTCATTAACCTGTCAAAATAAAATAACTCAATAATTCATTAATGTATTAAAATAAAAGAACTCAATAATGAATTAATGTATCAAAATAAAAGAACTAAATAATTAATTAATGTATCAAATAAAAGAACTCAATAATTCATTAATGTATCAAAATAAAATAACTGAGTAATTCATTAATGTATCAAAATAAAAGAACTCAATAATTCATTAATGTATCAAAATAAAATAACTGAGTAATTAATTAATGTGTCAAAATAAAAGCATACAGTGATTTATAAATGGGAATAAATGTGACCTGCGGGCGGGGTCTGTGGCGCCTCCGTGCTGTACCACGCTGTCAGGACTCAGAGTCATGATCGTCCTCACGGTGCTCTGCAGGCTGTCCTGTGATTGGATGAGCACAGAGTAGCCCGCCTCCCTGATGTTTTCAGTGGACACAGTGCAACTCATCTCAAACGTAGCGCCACCCACCGACGCCTCGCGGACCGGCTTCGCCACAACGTTCAGAGTCGGAGCTGAAACAAGAGCCACAGCATAGAAGTGAGAGAGAGAAAGAAAGAAAGAAAGAAAGAAAGAAAGAAAGAAAGAAAGAGAGAGAGAGAGAGAGAGAGAGAGAGAGAGAGAGAGAGAGAGAGAGAGAGAGAGAGAGAGAGAGAGAGAGAGAGAGAGAGAGAGAGAGAGAGAGAGAGTTCTTACGTTTGGTCGCCCAGCGGACAGTCAGCGCTGCGCTCTGATGCTCAGAACTCTTCATCAGGTCTCCCTGACTGGTCAGAGTCCATGCTGACACAGAGCACACGTACTGGCCCATGTCCACCTCCTGTTGTATTAAAACGCAAACATGTTCACATCATCTGAGTTTCAACACAAGCTGTTGAGATCATGGTCTTTGGGTTTTTTAAAAGTTTTGACGACCGTTTCTGATCCATACAAATCTGCTGTGTAAGATTAATTCTTAGGTTTTCATCTCAAAGTGGGCTGTGCCGTTTATACCAGTGTGACCAGTATACCAGTATAAAACACTAAGATTATATCCATCATGATAACAAGAGCAGCCGCCACCATGACACACTGCATGCCACCTGACAGGATTAAACATATTACTCAGTAATTGTTACCTGTGTCTGTATGACTCAGGTGTGTTGTTACCTGTGTCTGTTGGATCCTCAGGGTGAAGGTGTTTGGTTGAACTCTGCTCAGAGTCAGCGCTCCGCTCTTCATCTTCTCAGAGAGTGACGATGCAGGAATCAGGTTGCCATGGGCGTCCAGAGAGCCAATAAGATGAGAGGTGGGCGGGTCCTGAGTGACACCTGCAGGTTGCCATGGGCGTCCAGAGAGCCAATAAGATGAGAGGTGGGCGGGTCCTGAGTGACACCTGCATTGGGGGGGGGGGGGGGCATGTG